ATAGAGGAAGCCTTAAGCGATGATGAGTGGATAATTTCCATGCAAAAGGAGTTAGACCAGTTTGAACGCAATGACGTTTGGGAATTGGTTGAAAGACCAAATAACCATCCAGTTATTGGTACAAAGTGGGTCTTTAGAAATAAGTTGGATGAAGGAGGTGAGATTATCACCAACAAAAGTCGACTTGTTGCTAAAGGGTATAATCAAGTAGAGGGACTTGATTATGAGGAAACCTTTGCTCCTGTTGCTAGGTTAGAATCCATTAGGATGCTTCTTGCTTATGCTAGTTACATGGATTTTAAACTTCTTCAAATGGACGTTAAAAGTGCGTTTTTAAATGGAATCCTTACGGAGGAAGCTTACGTGGAGCAGCCTCCTTGTTTTGAAAATGTCACCTTTCCAAACCATGTATACAAGCTTAACAAGGCTCTCTATGGTTTAAAACAGGCCCCACGTGCTTGGTATGAAAGGCTTTCAAAATATCTTCTAGAAAATGGTTTTTCAAAAGGGGCTATTGACTCAACATTGTTTGTACGCACATTGGCTAATGACATTATGTTAGTTCAAATTTATGTTGATGATATTATATTTGGCATAATTTTTATTCTTTCAATTGGTATTTTCTATCCTCTATGTGCATTTCCTTTGTTTATTCTCTCAATGACCCTCCATTTTTTATATTGACAAAGGGGGAGAAATATGTTGACTTCAAGTAAGTCTCATACTGATAAAGGGAAAAAGTCCCTGACCTAAGTCAATCAAAAAGAGGAAAGAGATTCACTTTATATGGGGGAGAGTGTTTATATATTTTTTGGTATCAAGAGAGTTGCATGAAGTGAGGGGGAGCTTGCCTTTTGAAATCTTCTCGTGTGCTCCTAATTGTTTTTATACCCTCTTGAAGTCATTATTTGTCAACATCAAAAAGGGGGAGATTGTTAGCCGACTTGTGCTACCTTTAGCTTTTTATGTTTACAAATAATGAAGCAGCATATTAAAGGCTCTCAAAATCAATTTTATCACTTAAAATATTTTCTTAATAACTAAACAAACATTTTACTTTTGCACGGCAGAGTCAAATTCCTAAGTTTTCCCAAGCAGTTGAGTGCTTTTTTAAAACAGCTCACTAGTTTTTGTTCCTTGAGTTTCTCTTTTTTTGAGTGAGGTGTCTTCAAGCTTTTTCTCCATCCTTTTGTTGCAACTAAACCTCAATCTTAAGAGCTCAAAATCCCTCTCAAATGTGTGTTTCAAACGCGGTTAAAGATCTCTTCTAGCTGACTTTTCCGGCAGCCAACTGCTGAGGCCGCTGCTGTTGAGGTCGCTGCTGTTGAGCCAACTGCTTAGCCAACTGCCGAGCCAACTGCTCAAGCCAACTTCTTAAAGCCAACTGCTCAGCCCTCTGCTAAGCCCTCTGCTGCCAACCCTCTGCCCTTAGCAACCTGCCTTCTTTGAAAGGTTGTTTTCCTAAAAGTCTGTCACTCTAATCTTTATTCTAAGTATTCCTTTCTTAGAAATCTATCCAGACTTCAAATCGGTTCCTAAGTTCAACGCTATTCTTCCGTTGACTTTTCCAGTAAAGACAAAATTGTCTTTTGTTGTTTGGTAAAGACAATTAATTTATTTGGGGACTCAGACCTTTTTTGAATGTTGGAACCTATTATTTATCCTTCTAGCCGTTGTCACTATCTTCCAAATATGGAAATAAATCATTTATCAATAATTGATATTATAGCCGTTGAAGCCAATAATTTAGCGATTTTTTCCTTCCAAATCATTAATTTCGAATCTTCACTGGCCAAATCTTTTCCTATATATACTTCGCCTTCTACACTGATCAAAGTACAAATTACACACGAAAAATTACATACGAAAAAATCTTAACGAACTATTACTCTACACTTTGAATATTCTGTGAAAGAGTTCATTTTATTCCGGAAGCTTTTCTTAGTCTCTCTATCTTGAATTCTGCTTGTGCTATCACTTTAACATTTATTTGCAGAAACTTACATTGGTTTTAAGATCTTCAAATCCATATTTTTAATCTTGATAAAACCAATTTTTTGAGAGAGCTATTTGATATTTTGCAATCACACTTGTTCTTGATCAAACTTTATATCTTTGTGTGTATTGCCTTGTAATTCTCAAGTCTTCGTCAAGCATCAATCTTTATATTCTGCTTGAGAGTTTGAGATCATATTCTCTACTTGTATTTATATTCTCCAACTTGTAAGGTTTTGTTTGGTTTTCCTAAAACCAATCTTAGGTTGTTGGTTAGCCCGTTGTAAAACCAACTTAGTTAAGGTTGTGTGGTTGTGCCTCTTGAAAACCACTGTGAGGTTTTTGGTGTGCCTCTAGAAAACCATTAGTTGAGGTTTTTGGTTGATCCTCTTGAAAACCATTAGGTTGTGAGTTAGCCCGTGTAAAACTCATACTCATTGGCAAGGGTTTGTTTGCCAAAACTTTAGGTGGTGCTCTTCTTGTGTTCAAGGGAGACCATTTTTAGTGGATTTGGAAATCCTGAGGGAGGTGCCCTTAGGTAGAGGAGTAGGATTAGCCGAACCTCTATAAATCATTGTGTTCTTACTTGTTAATTGCTTTCTTGTTTGAACACGCACACACATACACAAATTTACATTCGTTTGTGCACTAACACTCACGTAAATTGTTTGTTATATTCTTGATTGTTTCCGCTGCCTTCATATCTCAGGACAATTTTTTAAACACCTAATTCACCCCCACCCCCCACCCCCCCCCCCCCCCCTAGATGCTTTCCGTGTCTTTCAAAATCGTCGGATCACAAAGGGACATGTCGTTCGATAATAAACAAGTTATGATGATAAATACTTATCTAAGTTGGTATGCATATTCTTAATTTGTGTCATTTATATATAAATGATCACTAACTTAAGCATCGGAGGGCCGTTGGCTTCTAGCCAACGCCCGACGTTAGCGAAATATTTTTTGCATAAGCACAGTCAAGAATTGACGATGACGGAATCCTAACACACAAAGCCTTACAAAACGTCAAAACACAATTGACGAGGGGCTTACGTACATCAAACAAAGCCTTACCATACGTCAAAACACAATTTACGGGGGGCTTACAGAATTTTAGGGGAAGAGATTGAGTTTTCATGTACGCTAAACATGAGTATAAACACCACTGATTCTCGACAATGTTTTACCCAAAACTACAGAAAATACACAACAAAAGCATGTGCTCGAAGAGCATGACAACACAAACTCCAAAACATAAGGAGACAATACGAATAACATTGACATAAATCATAAATATTCATGTCGACGATATTACTAAAACCATAAATGAAACAATATTCAAAGATTTTGCACGATTTCAATTACGTTCATGCGACCCGACTCGTCATCTCTAGCAACAGACGAAGTTCCCTTGGCCAATTGAAGTGTCGACATCAATCTGGTTGAAGTTTCAACTCGTCAGCATTGCTTAGTTATGATCATTAGCATAAATTTGGAAGAAGAGGAAACAGTTGAATATATCGAAGTGGAATATCGGCCAAGAGTTCAAATTTATAACGATGACACTCTTTTTGCGCGCCAGTCATCATCATGAATTGGGGGCAATTGTTGGGCCCAAAAGATTTTTTTTTCTATAATTAGGACTGATACTATTCGGCGAGTAATAAGTACCAATCTGAGGTGAATAAATATGCCTACTTTTAAGTTGGCCAACTGGGTCGGTGAATTCGGATAGGATCAACCAAGTCAAAAAGATCAGAAGCAATTTGAACGCGACGTGAAAGAGCTGGTCGATCAAGTCCTACTACGGTGGAGATGCCTAAAAAATCGCTGGTAGTTGCAACGTGGGAGTATAGCAAAATTAATGTATAAATTGATTAGAAAGCAGGAAGAGGAGGCACTTACTTCCACTTACGATTGATTTTTTTATTAAAAGCCATTATTCTGTGCCCACACATATCAATATATTTTAGCAGCTAAATTTTATGCGTTCATTATTCAATTATAATTACTATTATTCATTCCTGATCAGTTCATCTTCGATTCTTGTTTGCTTGATTCCCAATTCAATTACATATTTAGATTAGTTTATTTTAGTTAAAACACTATACTACTATAATAAGATAAGTAGTATAATTATATTAATACTTTATAATACATAAACTTAATATTATATATTTAAATATAAGTAGGTATAATATAATTTAAATATAAATAGATATTGAGTAGAGAATAGATGGTAAAAGATAATAGAGAGTAATTACGATGTATGAGTAATTCAGATTGATTGTATGAAGATAATAGATGATTAGAGAATAGAGAGTAGAGAGAATAGGAGTAGAAGAGAATAGTTGTAGGAAATAATTTGGAAAATGAGGAATTTATAGTTTTTAACCCCCTCCCCCCTCCCACCCACCCCACCCCTGCCCCAAATATCCATATAGCTGTTTAATAGCCATTGGCAACATCTATATGTCCCCAATCCCACCCCTTCATTTAAAAAAATAATAATTTCAAAGTGACCGTTGGAACTGAACCGAGACCGGGACCACCCGAGAACAAGACCACCGGTTACCCAGTCGTGCACCCGGTCAGGTCTCACACAGTAACGGGCCTGGTTCTGATTTGATCTGGGACGTACCGCTAATCAGGTCATCCCTACATCAACTTTTTAAGAACAACGATGAAGTACGACATAATGGCGTCATTCCTCAACAAAACCATAGCTAAGTGGAGACACTAGCGACCGCTCAAGATGGAGATGATGGTGATCCTTCAAGATGGTGAAGGTGGTGATGGAAGTTGAGGCGATGGCAGCAAGTCAAAGCTAAGCGACAGCAGCGGCGATGGCAAGAGGAAGCTGAGCGGCAGCGGCGGCTGAATGCCTGAATGGGTGACGGATGGTGCGGCAATCCAAAGTTGGGGAAGATTGGAATGTTAGGGTTTTAGAGCATATAATGTAGGGGTAAATTAGGGCACTAAATTAAAATCAATCTCTTCTTTGTCTAGATTATAAAGTGATCACAATTTATCTTTTGCGATCTTGTTAGTCTTATTTCTGCTCTTTTTCATGTATATTTAACTACTAATAATTTGTAATAAGTAGGTATGCGTAAAACTTGAAATACAAATTACAAGTTGTGTGTAAGAGCATTCTTCATTGGCTTGTTTAACATAAATGTTAGAATGCCAACTCACTTATTCAATCCAATTTGAGAGAGAAGCACCAAGCGAATTGAATGCAATCCTCCATTCAACCTGAAAAAATAATGCAACCGATGGGAAGAACCCCTGGGCCTAGTGCTCTCCACTTCTATGTGCCCTCTTTCCTCCACACCATCATCTTCTCTGGTCAATCGTCTGTTGCCTCAATGCCAACCGGCAGATATTCAATTAGTGTATCCAGCCTCCAGTTGCCACCTAACCCAAAGCCAACCAGACGTTCCTGCTAGCTACTCACACCTTCACGGCTTCAGCCTAGCATACTCCAATCTGGCAGTATGGTGTAAACCATTCCAGGCTCCCGAGCACACCCCCAATTGAACAGAGAGCAACTAAACTGGGTATTTTAATATTAACAGAAGCAATTATTTGAGTTCAAAAAAATTCAGACCAAACTAGTCCACAAACACAGAAACTAGGCAAAAAGAAGACTGAGACTAGACAAAACTACAAATATTCAAACCAGACCAGATTAGAAGCATTTAGACAAGACCAAACCATAAAGGGTTCAGACTTCAGAACACACTAATTGCACGTTTGGTGATCCCTTTACTTTTGGCTTATCAACCAGTTTTTACCAAACACTACACTTCATATTTCAAGCTTTGAATTGTGTAATAATCTAAATGAGGCTAGAGATACCTTTCTAACTGATTTGCTGAAGAAGAAGAATTTTAGCTTTTCCCATATAAGTTTTCTTTATTTTACTAATAAAATCTAATTTAAATTTCCCATTATTCAGCAGATTTAGCCAATTCATTTCTTTCAGCCATAATCTTAGCAGTTTTAGTAGATTCAACCGCTTCCACCATTTTCAGCATTACAAAAATGGATTCTAAATCAAACCATAAGATTTAGACCATACCAGAAACTGGAAGATTCAGATCAGGTCTCTTATTATAGAAGAAAGAACCGGTATTAGTTTGAGGAAGAAAAGCAGTGGTGCTTACCTTAATTCACTGTGATCATCGTCAAGGGAGAATTAAGCAGGTCTGCTGGATGATGGTGTCACATGACTCACACGGGACCTTCTAATAAGTACATCAGTAGTGCAGCATAGATGCACTAAGCAAAAAGTTCTTTATGAAGGGGGAATAAGCATCCTTTCGACCCCCATAAACTCAGAAAAGAACTCGTCGTCATTTTTGCCTAACATATCTTTCAAGCTAATATCAACATTTCTACTCTTCAGCACCCAATATCTGGGTTTTATCTTCTTCTCCAACGAGTAGCTGAAGTATCTTGGATATTCAACCACTTCTTTTATTCCCTTTCCCATTGTGTTCACTAGGAATTCCAACTTTGGCCTCAATACTTTTTCTATACTGTACCCCAGTAAGGGTGAAAACTTACGGACCATGAAGGATATGTCCCGCTTCGAAATCCCAGCTTGCATCAAATATCTAACTCTGCTTGTGGAATTTTAATGAGTTAAAACCCAATTTAGTCTTATACTACCTCCATCCCAGTGGACTTTGACAAGTGCAAAGTAGGTGAGAAATAAGAATAGTAAAAACTGTGTGGTTGAGATTTGTGCAGAGGAGAGAGAAATGTGCAGAACCACAAATTAGTTGCTTTAATAGGAAAGTGGCAAAGTTTTTTGGGACAACCAAAAAAGGAAAGTTGGCAAAGTCTAATGGGACGGAGGGAGTAATATATTATTACTCAATTTGGTCCTTCACTTTCTGTTCAACTCAATTTGGTCCTCAATTAAGTAATTAAATTCAGCATAGTCATCATCCAATTTTGCTCTAATTAAGAAGAGATTAATTTTGTATGGTGAATTGGTGATAACTAAAATTGGATCTGAATTACAAGGTTGATGACCAACTTGAGTTTTAAATTGTTAATTGTGCATGTATTTGATAAATACCCTTCTTATTTAAAACCAAATATGTATGAGCACTAAGGCTGGTTTCAATCCCGGAAGAGAACATACCAGGCTTAAACAGACATGATCAACTCATACTAGACTTAATTAAACAGATCAGACTAGACTTCGACAGGTGTAAAATACGCATAGATCACACATCTACCACACCAACTTAGACCATATCAGACCAAAAACTAGGAAATCTCAATTTGAGTAAAAACATTCTAAATTAGATTTAAATATCATAGTTGAGGACCAAATTCTCTCAAAACAGTTGACGAGATACTGTAGGCAAATAGGATACTAGCTCCAGCTTAATTTAGAAATAAACTCAATTTCTTTTCAGATATAGGCAACATTTCCTTTGCTGCCTGCATATGTAGCAGAAAAGTAAAGATCTGCTTTCTTACCTTGGAAGCAAAGCTCCATCAACGTCACATATGAAAACCTCCGGATATTTCCTTATAACCCTCTGGAAATGACCCCTAGAAATTCCAATAGTACTCAGGAAAGCAAGCTTTCTCTCAAGAGTTCTCTCAATGCTTGAAGCAAAAATTTCAGGGCAGCGAATAATTATTCTAACAAGGGTATCCTCATCAACTCCCAAATCTCTAAGGAAGCATACCACCTGGAAATGGAAGTGACTTTTTTTATTATATCGAGAACATCATTCATATAAGAGATAATCGAAGTTAAACCATGGCAAGTAAACACCGATGGTGGTACTGGGAGAAAAGTGTAAAGGAAGAAGAAGCAAAACACTTCCAACCCCTCTTGGATTTACATTTTCACAGAACTAGATTTAGGAGAAAGAGTCAAATAGATGCTTCTACTATTTCCAATGCATCCTTTTAAGTCCCTATACTAAAAAGGTATCATATAAGTATGTTTACTTTAAAAACGCAATCAATCAGGTCATTTTAACATGTTATATCAGGTTATTTTAAAAATAATTAATTAAAACTACTAATTGATCTTATAGAAATTCATATAAATTTGAAAAAAAATGTAATAATAATATAAACAATAGCCTGTTCAAAAACAGAAATAATTTCAACACGTTAAAATTAAAAAATAATAATTAGAAAAATGAAATAAAATAAAGTGAAAGTGTAAAAAATACTACGTATAAAAGTAAAATATAATAACTTTTAAGAAGATGTAGCATATACAAATTTCCAAAACTGAAAAAATATAGACTTTGACATTCTTCAATTGTACACGCTTTTTATTTATATTTCTTCGAATTGTAACATATTTTAAACTTTTCAATATAAAAAACCTGCGATTACATGTCAAAAACAGGTTAAAAGACCAAATTGATCAATTTTTTAAGGTAAGCATACTTATATGATACTTCTTTTAATATATTTGATCTTTTTGAATTAAGTGAACGGTTGGAATTAGTGAAAGGATCTATTTGATCTTTTTCCCCTTGATTTATACTACGTGATAAATATGAATTGTGACGTAATGAAACAAGGACATAAAAACTAATGATAAAATGAAATTCAACGATATATTACATATACTCTGCACAGAACAAATAACTATTAAAAGAAAGATCTATAAGAGGAAAACATTCATGCTAACTTCATGGAATAAACTAATTTTAGATGCCTACTTGTTTTCATGAAGGCCCCTAACCTGAAGGAAGTCTTGAGGTCTCTGCACCAATAGCTGAGGACTTGTAGCAATAACCTTACCCAACTTTTTGTTTATGATGCCCAAGTCTCGGAACTGATCAAGCATAAACTTCAGCTTGTCAACTGAACATCCTAAAAGGAGGGGCCATCTTTTAATTGCATGGGCTACACTAGCAATAGGTATCTGCCAGAAGAAAAGGTACTCATTGAAACATAATAAAAACAATCCGCATTGGCAGATTGCATGAGCTATACTAGCATACAAAAAATCCAAATTATTTTCATATCGTAGTGTTATTAAGACAATGCCTGTGGCTATATATTTCATGCCACAAACTACCAGTGTAATTGGAAGTACGGTGTGGAAGACGAATGTCATATGACGTGAAAATACAAGATAATGATAACATAATAGCACATTGCAAGAGCTTTTGTGTAAGGTTAGTTTTTATAAAGGTGGTTCAAATATCTAGCACCTTCTCCTTATTAAAGAAATTGAGGATCCTCTCATAGTTTTGCAGTATGCTTGCAGAAAGAATCCATGGATACTTGAGTAACATCTGACCAAAATCTTGCTCCCCTGCACCAATCTGGAAGACAGTTTGTGGAATACATTGAGTCTCTAAAAGAACAAATACCATTGACTTAACCCAATAATACTAATATCTTATAATATCTTAAAAAGAAGGGTGTACTTTTAGGAAAGAATGCAATCTTGGTCTTATGTCCTTTTCAACATCATAGAAAATAATTGGCGGGAAGAGTAGGAGAATTTGTCTCTTGCATCCATGTGCTACTCCAATATCCTCAAGGATTTGGAGGATAGGCTCCATTTTAGTCTCCAAAGGAAGCAACAAAAGATGTGGAAAAGATTCAATGAGATGTCGGAAAGAAGTATCTTTGGAGCCTAAACAATCCAGGCCTCCTCGTCTTGCTTGGATCTGTAGAAAGTATTGGAGTTCATAAAAAGACACTATTAGATCTTTCTAAATATTAATAACACACTGAAAGCGGAATCTATGTACAATTTGAAATAAACTGAGCCTGAAGAAAGAGGAGCAAATAAAATGAACCATTGTAATGCAGGAAGACATACTGACCTTCTCAAAGAATGATAAGGTTTGTTGCACATCATCATCAATAGAAATAGAAAGGTGCATCATCATTCGTCTGGCACTTTTACCAACTATCCTTTCATCAGCAGTGCTAGAAAATAATACTTCATTCAAATAGTTAACCTATAAACAAATATAAAATCAGCAAACTACTAATCCACTAAATGGCTAAACAAATAGCGAGTTTCCTTAAGAGGCAGAAAGCTGGCTATAGTTCATTAAACCATGGAGATAATACAGATGATATACGGAAGCAGAAAAGATTCATTGTCCTGAAAGTAACATATACCTTTTGAATAAGATCAGGAAGTGTGTGGGAGGATGAGAGATAGCGAGCTAGGTGAGTTGCAGAAGATAGAGTTAGGCCAGCACTCTCTAGGTAGGGAAGCATGCCCTTATCTCCTTTTTGTTGGACCATTCGGTACACCTTACTTCTAAAAGAAGGTGGCGGCTGTGGTGGCTGTGAGTGAGGAGCTGCGGAGGCGGAACTTATCCACGAATTCCATAAGGACAATTCGTCAAGGTCTTCAACGCTGTCAATCAACATTTTCAGGTAGCTGGGAGCAGCGAGGGCGATCTCAGTGGCTTCCTCCGTGGAAATCCCAAGCTGCCGTAGATAGTCGCAAAGCGCATCCCTTGCCTCACCTAGTTCTTCTTCCTCTTCTCCTTCACCTTCCCCGATTACTGAAGAAGATGAGCACCGCGGTTGCACCAACGGACCAAATTTAAGGTTGCGGCGGCCGGGGCGGATATTATTAGGACGGATTCTGTGTTTTAGATAAATGCAGTCGGCGGAAGTTGAACCGGAGTAGCATGAAATCGAGCGTTGTGGAAATATAGAACTGTCATTAACAGGTATAGCTGGGCAGATGATGTGATGGGAATGGCTATTTAGGTTTAGAAGCGACACGGTTATGCGCTTGGAAAGCCAATCGAACTGCATTTTACGGCGGCTCTGTCACCCTAACCCGATTAGTCTCTGCGGCAGCGCAACCCGCCGTCTCTCTCCTTCCTCAACAGCTAAGAGCCAGTTCCCGCTTGTCCTCTTCTTCTATCGAGGTTTTAGTGAAAGTATTTTGCCGTTTCCAGTGTGGCGATAGATAATTGCAGTTCAAAGCTCAAGCTCCCCATTCCCCAACATGATTTTGAAATTGCAGTAAATAAATTACGGAGTATTGTTTATTATAGGCCCCGGAGTCTTGCCGTCGTTTTTCCGACGTACGGTCAGTGTTCTTCTCTTACGGTAGTTATTATTTGACTAATTTCTTTCACCCGGGGGTTCGTGTAGGGTAAAGGTGGCTTAGAAAATCTAGGGGACAATATCAGAGTATGGTTCGATTTTTATAGATTTCAATTTTGAATGGGTCGAAGATAATTGTGCTTTTAACTACGCACTTATCTTCAAGAATTTATTTGAATGTCTTTTCGATTGAAGTTTTAGTTGAAAATTGGTATGAGTAAACTAAACTTAATGAATAAAATGTTAAAAAAGTTTCATTGAAAAATTCCACCTGAAACCAGCCCAAATGGCGTCGGCCGGACAGAACCTCCTATATAAGGCCTTATTTGACATTTTTTTAAGTTCGAGACCCTATCTGACCCTTTTCCCAGTTTAATATGATATGGAAGAAATACTATCAAATTTAAAACAAATTGCATATGATTCGGTTTCGGTTCAGTTTAGTTCAATTTGGTACGGTTCTGCTCGGTTAAATCAAACGAATATGCCTATCCCTAGTAAAATATAATGGAGAGTTTCTCTCTAAATTCTTTAATCGGCTTGGTCTGATTTGATTTGGTCTACTATGTTTAAATCTGATATAATTTATTCGAAATTGATTTGGTTTGATCGGAGATAATTATAATGTCTGATAGATCTATGTCCGTACACTCGCACATTTAAAACCATTCCATTATACGGAGTATTACTTTATTGCAACTAAAATACTCTTTTCGTCCCATAGAGAGGTTTCTCACACGGTTTACGATATTTGACTGATCATAGAGTAAACTAATTCACATTCTGTTGAAGTTTATTCCTTCAACCCAAAGGCTCAACACGTTTCCCTTGAATTTCGAGTGGAGAGTTTAATGAATTTCAGATGCAAGCAAGTAAAGATGGGTCAAATAAAGAGTAGTAAGTGGGCGGTATCTTATTAAATGATAATAAGAGTCCGTATATAACACACTTCAACTACTAGCCCCGAGGTCGTTCGTCTATCTCGATACTAAGACCTAAGATAATTGTTATTTGCTAGGAAGAATAAGTTGTCAACCTGTTACAATGAAATAAATGTTGCTATTTATACTACCAAGGGGTGAGTAGTGTTGCTGATGTGGATGATTGTGGATGGCCAGCCTCCCAACCACCAAATCTACTACATTAAATGTTTTTCCCGCCAATATTTTGATTTCCCGCCATGGGCACTGGATGTGCGTCCCTTGATCTAAGGTCCTCCTGGGTTCTGGAGGTGCAAGGGTTGGGCTCCGTGCGGCTCATGCCAGTTATTTGGCCGAGGATCCTAGAATGTCATCTGGCACCTGTTGGGCCAAGGCCACTGAGGCCGAGCGTCTTGACGGCACCTTGGTGGATCATGCCCAGATTGGGCCTATAGTCCTGTAAGGGAGAAGATATGCACGGCCTATGCGGACTAGCCGCAGATCCACCATGGTTACTTGCCCCTTGTGGGTTGTGTACTCTGAGGTCGCGCATCGCGGGCAACGTTTCCCCCGACGGGCGTCCACAAGGCATTCCGTTGGACCGTACTCAAGTCGGGCCTTGATGATCTCCGTGCTAAGGGGTAATGGGCCGATCCGCTATCGGACCTATTAACCCAACACATTCGTAATTATTATTTTTAGTAAATAAAATTTACATATTCAGAAACTACATTAAAATTTTATAAAGTCGCAAGAAAACTCAAATTCGAGAAAAGTTAGATATATAAAATAAAAGATTAAGAAGACCTTACGTAGGTTGATTGGATATTGTAGACGGAAACTTTTGTATGAAATGGAAGTAGTAATCATTTTTTATTCTTTATTATTTGTAGATAGATAAGTAACTGAGTAAGTGAATGAATGGATGTGTGGGTGGGTGGGTGGATGGGTGGGTGGGTGGAAGGATGAATGGATGAACAGATGGACGGAAGGACGGACGGACGGACAGATGGATGGATGGATGGATGGATGGATGGATGGAAGATAAATTAATTATCAACTCGGGACCTGAAAGAAAAAATGCATCGATATAGGACCCGAATGATGAAAAACTATCAATTTAGGAACTGAATGATTGAAAACTATTAATCTAGGACCTAAGTTGTCATAATTTTTTTTATTAAAAAATTTTAAATATTATTTCGTTTTATTAAACTAATACACTTTTGTGAAGAAAAGTTTATCAAAAATTAGTAATGGAATTAATAAAAAATTAAATAAATCAAAACCTATGAAACGTTAGGTCCTAAATTGATAGTTTTCCATCATTCGGGTCCTATACCGATACGTTTCATCTTTCGGGTCCTGAATTGATAATTAATCTATCTTTTGGGTTCTGAATCTATAAAATTCCAAGAATGAAAGAAAGAATGAATAGCGGTCCGCTTTCTCAAAGTTAGTCACTGTTTGATTGATTTGGCATTACATGTTATGTTTGATCAATCTTCTCAATGAGAAGAGTTTAAAGGTGGTCATGAATAAGTATGAACAATTAAGAATGACAACCATATATAATTAGAAGAGTTCATTTCATACAAATACAACACATATATAATTAACAATTTTGAATTAGTCGTCATCCCGCTCTTTGAGTTTTTCAACTTCTTCCGAGACCTTCTTCAAATCCCACCTTTTATCCAAGTCTTCTTGACAACAAGCGAGCCCGATCTCGATCAGCTTTCGCATCTCACCATAGTTTCCTCTCGTATCTCCCATTTCTTTATCAAATATTAGGTTGCTTTGTTCATTATCTAACCCGACAGATATGGAGTCTATCCAACTCGCTAATTCGGATCCGTATCCTGGGCACTGCATTAAGTAGCTTGTGGGGAACCTCCCACTCATGATCTCCAATATCAATATCCCTAAGGTCCAAACGTCAGTCTTCTTAGTGGTGCGACCCTGCCTTGCGTATTCGGGGGACTTGTAGACGATAATGATGTTTTGGAGTTGATCTGAATTTAAGACCGGCACCAATGTATAATCCATAAGGATGGGGTTGAATGAGTTGTCAAGAAGCACATTGGAAGATTTTAGGTGACCATGAGGTGTCACTAGGCTTGGTAGCTCTACATGAAGGTAGGTTAATCCCCTTACAACTCCTTTCACAATCTTCAACCTCGTTGGCCAATCAAGTCTTGAATCATTGCCTGAATACGCATGAAAATGGTTAAAGCTGATTAGTATACAAAAAATTGTTTGTGTTAGAATAGTCAAAAGTGAATATTTGCATTTGGTAGCTCAATTTCAGAGTGATTTCCACTTTTTCATGTAATTCACAAACTTCAAAATCAAACTAATACTACACATCGGATCAACTTGTGTGGGTTCCATATTGAATATCTGTTTTCATTCTAAGATTTGTAATGAACGAGAAGAGTATACTAATCATCCTAAAATTGGGGGAATAATAAACTAATCACACCTCCTCTAGAAGGACGCACAATCTTCTTGAAGTAAACATAACAGCACAAGATTGCAAATGCATGATGTGGGGGCATGATGATATCATATATTTAAAAATACAAATGTAATACAATTCTGAAGTATAAGATCGTGAGAGAGAAAGACATGCATACCATAAAGATGAGTAGCCAAGCTGCCATTGGGGACATGATCAACCACCAAGAGCTTCTCTTCTTTCCTATAATAGTAAGCAACCAGTGGGAGCAAATTAGTGTGATCAAGCCTTCCTAGCCTTCTCATATGTTCGTGGAAATCTTCTCTCCCAACATGATTCATGTGCTTAAACCTCTTCACAACTACGGCTTGACCGTCCATCATAAGTGCCTTGTATGAGGATCCTAAGTTTCCACTTCCCAACACTTCTGCTGAAGCCCTCAAAAGATCTTGAAGATCAAATTGTGCCCTATCCCCTTTAACGAATGTCAACTTCCCTACACCAGAAGTTGCTCCTCCTCCCACTTTAGCAGCTGTATAGCTCGATGGGTTGGTTGAGAGCACCACTCCAGGAGAAGACGTGACACCGGTAAGATCTTCAGAATTAGTATTGTAGGGAGAAAATGATGGGCCGATTGTGTGACCTCTACCTCCCAAAGTAGCTTCTTCATTACGACGGTTGCGTAGTACATTTATAATGAGCAAAATGATCACGGCCAATGCCAACAAACAAATTGCAATCAACATTAGCAGTCTACTTATAGATGATGACGACGAGGATGATGGCACTGTAGTTTCTTCATCCGAATTTGGACGTGCCGATTGAGGAGTTGGTGAAGGAGGAGGAGGGCTTTCTGTCTTGCAAACCGTTTCTAGAGGCTTCCCACATAAGTTCTTATTACCTGTAGCACTACTTATCTCATTAAGACTACTTAAGTTCCAATTTAAAGTTGGAGCTCAAGACTTTACATGATGATATGTTACTTACTTTATACTATTTGTATTTATTAGTTGTGGTAGGATTGATCAAATGCTTAGTACAATACAAGAACAACTAGATGCATTCATGCTAATTTTATGAGGGAAAAGAACGAAAGTTGTTCAGGGCTTCTTGGTAGCCAAAAGTAAGTTATAAATCTTCTTTTGCAGAATAAGTAACATTTTTCATTTCTAAAAATTCAGTAGCTTCAGCCAAAATTTAATACTCCATAACTTATTAATAGTATCATAATATAACTAAATATTTATTTGAAGAAATGGTTGGTTCAATACCAGCAAAAGTAGAAGGATCCATCACCGATATGCTGCGAGGGATCCGACCCTCAAGCTTATTGTTAGAAACGTTGAGCAATTTAAGTCCTGGGGGAAACTCTGGTATGGTTCCGGTGAAGCCATTGTTTTCGAGCTTCAATTCCAACAACCTTGGTGTGGTTGCAAGAGAGATGGGAATGTTCCCGACGAAGTTATTGTTTGACAAATAGACTTTCTTCAAAGAAGTCATGCTGGAGAAGGCGTTGTTGGGGATCTCGCCAGAAAAGCGGTTATTGGACAAGAATAGAGACTTGAGTGCGCCGAGCTTTCTCCAGTCAGGCATTAGCCCCTCGAATGCATTGTTCATGAAACTCAAAGTCCGGAGGAATCGGAGGGGAGTGAGAGAATCAACGTCGATATCACCGGAAAGGTTGAAATTCTCCAGCTGGAGACCCCAAACATCACCGTTAAAACAGAGTACGCCGCGCCAATTCTCAGCGTTGCCTGAGCACGGGCTGGTCGCTGGATCCCAGGACGCGAGTTCTCTTGACGCTAATACGCCATTGGGGCCCGCCACGAGGGAATTTTTGAAATTGATGAGGGCATCGGCTGAGCTGTCAACCAATGAGTCGAGGTCATTGCCGGCGGCGGGGGCTGCATGTGACGGCATGAGCAGTAATGAACCAATAATGAGGATGATGAACAAGGGAGATGATGACGATGATGAGGGAGACGCTGATAGGGATGATGACATTAATGGCGGAGCACCCACCTGTAACCACCGCCGACTGCTTGGGTGCACGACCGCAGTTCCGGCGGCGTGCACACCCATCATCATCATCAACAACCACTAGGACGGAGGAAAGCAGTAAGGGATGTTGTGCGCCACAATATTGACAGCATTTGTTTGCATGTTCATCTCCTGTTTTACCCACCATTTTTTTTTTTACTTTTTTTGTCCCTAAAAGAGAGTTAGTTTTTGTTTAGGGGAGGGGCTAGTTTTTTTCCCACTTCTTTCTCTCTTTCTCTCTTTTGTTTGTTTTTGTGTCCTCCCCTGTTTTTAGGGATTCATACTTCATCAGAGTGCAATGTATCTAAATGCTCCCTTATTTACTTTTTTTTGCAATTGAATATTGTTAATTGTATGACAATATTTTATTTAGATGATAATTTAATGGTCAAGAATTATATTAGAAGAAACAAATACACACAAAAATATAAGTTTTTCTTTCAAGTAAAATGATGACAAACATTTAAACTTTGTTCAGTTGGGTTTAAATTTACAAATACAATGAGAGAGATGCGAAGGAAAAAAACATGTCAAGATGAAAAAACATGTTAATAATGATAATGTTAATAATAATGTTAATAATAATAAGGGAAAAGTGTCAAATAAATCCTTCTATTATTGCCAAAATGTCAATTAAACCAATCAAATCAATTTTCATCCAATTAAACCCATGAACATTAAAAAAGTGTTCAAATCAGCTTTTTACTAGGTTAACATCCGTGGCGCTTTATACTTTTCCCTTTTTTCCTTTTCTTTTTCTTCCTTCCTTTCTTCTTCTTTCCCCTCTCCACTTTCACTGTCTTTGCCCAATTTCTTTCTTTTATATGCTTTTTGGATTTTGACATGAAATCACATGCTCATCCATCCAATTCATGAATACACAAGAAAATTGAGAATAATAAATTATATTCAAATTAAAAATTAGTGGGATTCCACGAAGAAGACCGGCACCATGAGATGTGAAGACGACCAGAATACGGACTAAGTTCTTTCTCTTTTCCGGAAGTTGTTCGAGGAAGACGACAGGTGGTAGGATCTCAGGCGAATGTACCAAGGAACAGTGGTGGACTGGTGGTGGCATCCAAACAGCAGCATCCAAGCGAAGGTGGCTGCATCTAGTCGCCGATGTAGAGGCAAAGCTTTGAGAAGAGGACCAGACCTTGAACCAACTTCTTTGACTTTGCCGGAAGTTGGCCAGGGAAGACGACCGGCGTTCATATCCCAAGTGGCCAGACCGATTATCTTTTATTATACAAAGCCAAAAGAAAAAATGAAAACCGTTCCCGCCCAAATGCAGTGCACTATTGGGTCGGGTCGGGTCATTATGGGTGCAGAAACGGGTCCTGGGCAAGCTTAAATGATGGCACAGAACCCCATATTTCAGTTGTTGGGCTGAAGGCTGATCATTTAATGCATTGTGCTTGGTAGTTGATAGAGGTCATGCCAATGCACTGTTCGAAAAAATGCAGTCTGCTTTTAGAACTTAAAAAATATTTTAAGTTGTCCTTTTTAACTAATGAATCACAATTAAAATCTGATTGCAGCCTTGAGGCTCAAAAAAATTAAATACATTGTACTTGATAGTTCTGAACAATAAATGGAGCCACAAAAACATTTCTTGAGCCTCACAACAATAAATGCAATGTACTACATAATCTCAATGTAAAAATTGAGTGGGTATTTGTACTTGATAGTTCTGAATTGGAGCCACACAAACATTTCTTGAGCCTCACAAACAATAAATGCAATGTACTACATAATCTCAATGTAAAGATTGAGTGGGTATTTTTAACCCTTGGTTAACCCAATTGATTCACCTTATAATTAATGCATTGTACTACAAATCTTAATATTGAGATTGTGTGGTATTTTCAACCTAGGTTATTCTCTCCTTTATCCAATATAAATACCCAAGCAGGGGATGACCACAACATACCACAAACCAGTATTCAGCAGCTGTATTTTTAAGTTCAAAAGTTCAAAACCAGTGCAATGGCAACCGCTTCATCAGCACAAGGGATGTGGTCCTTGCTCAAGGATATCGATCACACAAAGACGACCTGGGCAATCAAGGTTCGGGTAGTTAGGGCATACGAAGTTCCTCCACACTCTAAGGGCGTGGAGACTCTTGAAATGGTTTTGCATGACGCAGAGGTATGGTTTGTAACATCTAACTTCTATGGCGTCTTTTGCTCAACTTTTCTTAATCCAATGTAAATTCTTACTAGGGAGATCGGATTCACGCCATTATCAAGAGGCCGCAGATAGCAATGTATAAGCCTAATATTACAGAGAACAAAATTTATGCCATAAGAAACTTTTTGGTGCTTGACAATTACCAAACAGTGAAGACTACAAGTCATCCCTACATAATTCAGTTCATCTCAAAAACCCTGTTGAGGGAAGATACGAAGACGGAAATGCCTATGATGGTCTATGATTTTCAGCCTTTTGATATGCTGCATGCCCAAAGAGTTATCAATGACAAAACTCTAATTGGTGAGTTAGAGTCAAATTATTCCATACTACATTGCTTGCACAAATATCCTAATTACAGTTTCTATCGTTTAATTATGAAGATGTCATTGGGAAGGTTCTGTCCAAGAGCCTTATCCAGACCCACATAATCAATGGGAGGACTGATAGGCTAATGGAGTTGACTTTGACAAACCCGGAGTAAGTTTTACAACTTAAACGATTTTAGCAAAACAAAAGACACATGCTCATTGACTGAAACTTTTCTAAACTACAGGGGTAACAGATTGGGCGCCGTATTGTGGAACAAGTACATAAACCAGTATCTGGATTATGTTAATGCTAATGAAGGAGTGCCTGTCTTCGTGATATTTCAACTATGTAGGCCAAAAAGATACCAAGGTTTGAGAAACTTAGTAGCATTCATTATGTAGTACACAGTAGCCAAAGCTTATGGTAGTGCTGTTTTAAACACAGGGATCTTGACAGTGAATTCGTCTTTTGATGTATCAAAGCTCATAATCAACGGGAACACTACTGAGTTTTTAGAGTTCCAAAGCGAGTATGCGTATTAAATCTCCTAAAACTAAACTCTGACTACCCAATTTCATAAAAACATCTCCTAAAACTCAAGTATCCTAGAACTAAAGTCTGTTTACCATGCAATATACAGGTTTCCAGCAGATGGTGATGACACCACGACTCAAACCTGCAACACGCAATGCTCACATGCGGAAGGGAGGGATGATATACTCGGTGGAAATGCTGTCATTACCACCATGGAGGATTTGATGAAGGCAACTGAGGTGTGTCCTGAAGCTAGAGTCATAGATTTCGCATTTTGAATAAATATATCCACTGCTAATAAGAAAATTATACTTGGATAGGAGAATGTTTATTGGGTACTTGCTGAGATAGTTTCTATAGAAAACTATCGAGAATGGTGCTACCTAAGTTGCCCAACATGCCACAAAAAATTGCAATCAAAAGAGGAACGGTTTAGGTGTACAACTTGCAGCATGTCAATGGCAGAAGGAGTTTATCGGTTCATTACTTAACCTAATGTGCTTTTATGGGTGTAGGATGTTCACGTTTTTATTTTAGTAATAAAAATTGTTACTCTGATGATTCAGCTACAAGGTCAGTGTATATTATGGACAACACAGGGTATGGAAACTTCATGTTATGGGACAGGGAATGCATAGAAATTCTGGGTAAAACTTCAGCAAGTCTTAATGTAACATATCAAAACTTATACTCCGTATAATACAAAATAACAAATAATAAAATATGTGCATGCAAAATTTAATAAGAATATTTCAACAGGTAATTTAGTTATTAACAATACCAATAGATTAAGCATAAATGTATACAATTAAGAATAATCTTATCAAAAACATATGAGTACAAATAAACGTATAAATAATGTTCGATAGTGTATTACATACATATAGACGTTAGTCTAGGAAATCTGAAAATAACAATACTACTACTAAAAAGTAAAGTGATCAAATGCAAACACGACAAGTGGCTAGGTCATTTTATCACTATATAATAATTGTTTACGGAGTATTAAATACATACGGGAATGGCATATGAGCAATTAGCTATCCTATTAATTTGATATATATCTACATGCTTACACGTGTATAAGAAATGCATGTTTCACGTATACATAGTTGAACAATTGGCAAAACACTAAAGAATAGAACAAAAGTTACATGCAATATACAACCGAATGCATGCATAAGAAAACAAACGGGTAGCTATACTACTACGTAATAAATAGAGACACTACATAATATGACCCTAACTTCTAAACAGGTGTACAATGTACTATAAAAGAACAAAATAACATAGACATAAGCTGAATAACACGTGTATATCCATGCATGCTAGAAAGGACACTAAGCCATAGATTGCCTAATAATCAAACAAAATTAATAGGGAGCCTTTTGAGTAGCATTTGGATATCTCATACTCGCACCACTAGTATTAGAAAAGAAAAAAAAAAGAAATGTAGTATATATACACTACTATATGATACATTTAATTAGTATGAGAAGAGACAATTATTGCTTATTAGGTTTTCTGGGAAGGCACGAACCAGAAAATAGAGAAAAATAGGTAGAGAAGAGCGAGTGAACCTTGAGAAAAAAAAAAAGAGAGGAGAGGAAGGAAATAGGGAGAATAATCGGGCTACAAGTTTAAGGTTTGTGTTCATTCCTTCTTCTAATTATATTTTATATTATATTGTTATTATTGTAATTTTATTGTTATATTTCATTTTAGAGGTAATTTTTAGCTAAACTGTTATGTCTAAATTTTTATGTTGATTTGTTCTCTTTGAAGAATATCATACTGGTTTTTACAAAGATATGCACGATACATGCTATAATTTAAAGGAATGCATGGTAAAATGTTATAATCAATGTATAATGGCACGGTGTTGAACTATAATGGTCATTAAAATATTTAATTAATTTAGAAAGAAGTGATATTTTACTTAATAAATTTTCTACAACTACGAGTGACAGGTTTGATTAAGAAGAGAACTTCATCAGTTTATAAAAAGATTGAATTGAGGTGAGATCGAGATATAAATAAGTAAATTTAACAAAAATATATATAATACTGCATATGGCAATCTATATTAGAAATTATATACATGTATGAACAAGGATACAGATGATATTTTAAGTTGATTATAATGATATCAATTTTGAATTGGAAAATAATACTAGTAGCTATAATACTATTAATGATAAAGATTTAATTTAAAATAAGAAAAATGGAATTCGAAACTTTATTATTGGATTTGGATAGGTTGGCATGCCAATAGGGATAATAAACACGGCCGTAGAATTGATCAATGATTTCGGGTACGTAGCCACCGAGTGGACAGCACCCAAATCTTGATATTTGATACATGCGCGCTTCTATACGGGTCTGTGTCCACCGAGTGGACAATACCCAAATATGTTCATTTAAGGGTCCGTAGCCACCGAGTGGACAGTACCCAAACGAACCCAAACCGGCCAGAGCCACCGAGTGGTCCGTGCCAAAATAGTTCTCTGATGGTCCGTAGCCACCGAGTGGACAGTACCAAAGATGAGAACATCCCGTTTATCCAGTTCATTAAATTAAGGAGTAGAATTCCTGAAAATTTATAAAAGAATAAAAGTGTGAAAAAGAAAAATGATAGAGAGAATGACACAAGCAAATGAGTAGAAAATGAAAATTGAGCAAAAGAAACTTAAAGTGAGACCAGAAGAAAGTTGAATGGAATATTGAATTACAGCTATGATACTGCTTATGTGAATTTCGACTTTGACATGAAGCGATGAAAATGAAGACAGAAAGAATTGAAGGAAAATGTGGAAATAGAAATTGAGGAAAATGAAGTAAAGGATATGTATATAAAAATGAAAAAGGATAAGAGAATGTACATTATATTCCATTGAAGGATAGCTTTTGCTCATGTAAGTAAAGTATACTTTAATATTGTTTAAAAAGGCTATAAATAAATAAAAATGAGATATTTACCTCCCACTTAAATAAAGAGTAGAATTTTAAATTGGAATATTATACGTTCTGAAATATGTTGACTTTAGTATTTAGAACAAAATGAAAGTATATATATTAATCTAGCTATTTTGATGGAAACGACATTTCACATTTTTAAATAGCTAATCTAATAAATTTTGTAGTATACCTGATATTTGAAGTTTAATACCTTAATGTAGTAAAAAGAAATTTTATATCCAATCTGGTTTATACACCAATAGGGAATTGAATTAGTTATGGGTATTAACTATTGAGATTAACTAATGGGTTGATTTTTGTATCAATTACTTGAAACAAGGGGTATATGATATACATAAGTAAATGGGTAAAAATCAATTGGGAGAAATTTATAATTTTCAATACAATTTATATTTGTAATGCCATTTTTAATTGTACATATGTTATGTGATATTTGATATTGAGTATGTATCGAGAAAGAATGAACACCACTAAGCAAGATTTGCTTAGCGCGTTGGATTTTGTCCTTCCCGTAGGTACCTAGTTGATATGAGGCACAAAGTTCAAGGAGGAAAGCATTTGGGAGCAATCTGCCAATCAGCACAGAGTCACACTTGCATTTAGTAATATCTCAATTTTAGTAGTTAACTTACTGCTATAATGTAATAGCAACACTAAACAATTATGTGGCATGTATAAAATTAAAGATGCTTCCGCAATCATGAACATTCACAAAATTACTTTCATTGGTTGATTTGAAAGAAAAGTATTAATGATATATTTTAAAATAGAATAGTTAGTAGACGCTTTGGTGCTCCGGCACTGCGGGTAGCACTCCCTGCTCAGACTTCCGGACCGGGTAGGGGGTGTTACACTTAAAGCCGAGGTGGAGAAGGTAACACAATAACCCGTTAGCAGTGTTTACTTTATCAGACCTTCAATCAATTATGGATGGGCTAACCACATAACTTGGAAAACACAGAAAACCGGGGATCCAAGTCGCTTTCCGGAAGACATTGAAAACTTGGTTGATATAAAGGGAATTTTCAAAATACAGCTAAGGAAGAAGAAAGGTGAGGAAAATGCCTATAATGATGGGATTTCTCTAGGGGTAGTTAGCATCATAAGAGATCCTAATGTTATCTCAATGTATGAGAAGAAAGAGCACTTGGAAACTAATGAAATTGATGAGAGTACACCAGAAAAGGTATTTAGAAAAATTATTAATTTGTGTATTTGGGCCTTGAATAAATAAAGATGACAACTAACTTAAAATCATTTTTTTGCAGATTGGTTCAAATGCAAATTTAGGAGAAACCTCCATCAGAGAAAAATCAACTGTCAGTAAGGGCAAGGGGAAACGAATTTCGGTAGAAAAGGAGGTAAGCGATCGACTGTTAAGAGGTATATAATATTTTCGTTCAAAATTCTGTAGATGGTTCACTAAACAGCTATATTACTGCTAGGTTTCTGCACCAATTGAGCTTCCCGACACACCTACGGAATGTACCCAAAGGGAGGTCAATGTTGAATTAAATGAAGAGGTCAAAAGAAACTTGAATGATGAATTTTCAAGCACTGGGAATGGCAAGAAGCTGAAGATCAAAATCAAACAGGAACCGCTCTAGAGCGGGTTCAGTTCATGAATAACATTGATGATATTTTGTTGGCACCTACTATGGTGTTTATTGTTATTTGAAAACAGTTTCATGCACAGGACGTATGCCTTCTCTTTTTGGGATAACTGAAAACTGTGTAAGAGACCATTAAACCCTACTTTATGACTATTGTGTGGTGTGCTATTATGTTTTGACTATGTTTAGGATGTTTTGTATCTATATTGGGCAGTTTTGCAGGATTTCAGAGAAGGGATATTCCTAAACCATTTAGGGAAGTTTATGCTCCTAATATCTTTGTATTTTATAAACAGACCTTTGTTTTCACGCTAACGCTTTACTAATGGTTTCCAGGATGATGAAAAAGTTTTCGGTTAAGAAAAATGCTACCAATGGTGTGAAGAATGGCTTAACTGCTAGACGAGAGCATGGGATGGTGTGAATAAACGATTGTGTGGTGTGCTATTATGTTTTAACTATGTTTAGGATGTTTTGTATCTATATTGGGCAGTTTTGTAGGATTTCAGAGAAGGGATATTCCTAAACCATTTGGTGAAGTTTATGCTCCTAATATCTTTGTATTTTATAAACAGACCTTTGTTTTCAAACTAACGCTTTACTAATGGTTTCCAGGATGATGAAAAAATTTTGGGTTAAGAAAAATGCTACCAATGGTGTGAAGAATGGCTTAACTGCTAGACGAGAGCATGGGATGGTGTGAATAATGGCTTAACTGCTAGACGAGGCATGGGATGGTGTGAATAATGGCTTAACTGCTAGATTTACTATGAAACATGTAAATGTGTAAACTCTAAGAGGCATTACGTAAACAAGTAAATGTGTACTCTTATGATTTCAAAAGTGTAACATTTGGATTGGAAATTCTAATACAAGTGTATTACATTTAAAAATCTATGCAATATTCTTTGGTTGCAATTTGACAATTGGCAATTTGATTCAACAACTTGCATAATTTTAAATAACCAAGTGAGGTAAAGAAGTTCATACCTTAGTCTTTTG